GGATCATCCACAATGTAGCTCAATCAAGTGATCATCAATGACTAAGAAACTTAGTGGACATCCACTTAAGTTGACATAAGTTTCTCTCTCTCTCTCTCTCTATATATATATCTATATATATATATATATATATATATATATATATATATATATATATATATATATATATATATATATATATATATATATATATATATATATATATATATATATATATATATATATATATATATATATATATATATATATATATATATATATATATATATATATATATATATATATATATATATATATATATATATATATATATATAGAGAGAGAGAGAGAGAGAGAGAGAGAGAGAGACAAAAAAAATACATCCTAAAAAAAATTTTGCATATCGCAGTAAAGGAACAACATCATATTGGTTGATTTGTTTTGTTAGAGTTAGATTTTAAATAAGATCGATAACAATTAACTTTGGAATTGTGGGGTTTCATGGTGTGCAGAGGATATTTTATCGCTTTAGAATAGGCCTGGCGACTAGAAGCATTTATTTTATCATTTGTTATGTAAAAATATGTTTATGGAAACATACGTATGTTATCTAAGTCATTTGCACATTTAATTATGAAATATAGCAAAGTTATTACACCAAGTTGAGATGGCCGAGTTGGTCTAAGGCGCCAGATTAAGGTTCTGGTCCGAAAGGGCGTGGGTTCAAATCCCACTCTCAACAAATTTAATTTTGGCTAAAAGGCCAACTTGGTCCTTGTAAGATAGCCTCAAACTAATTTCTCAAGCCTCATACTAATTTCTCAACAAATTGTTTGGCAATCAAAACACCCTTTTTTTTTTTTTTTTTTTTTTTTTCAGAGAGGAAAAAAAGAGGTGTTGCGCATGTAAGACTCACCCACTAGTAAGATAATAGTGTCATAGGTCACAATGTTAAGGAAACTCATTTCACTTCAAAAGATCATGAAATGTGCTTGAAAATATGAAAATGTCTCACAACCTATATCCCATGAGTAATCTCCTAAATTTAGGTTTCTAGGAAATGAACCAAACAGCCCCTTAGTATATGTTTCCCTTGTTAGATATCAACTTAATCCTTTCTTTTTCTCAACTATTGTTAGATATCAACTTAATCCTTTCTTTTTCTCAACTTAGTATATGTTCCCCTTGTTAGATATCAACTTAGTCCCTTTTTAACATCCGTTAGTAATTAATCTTTTTTTTTTACCACATTACTCTGAAAATGTTCCTACGCTCTTGGATCCTAATAAATGTGACTTTATTTTTTATACTTGAACCACATCAGATATAAAAAATCTACCATTACGGGAAAAAAAAAATTAATCAAGAAATAGGCAATGTTTTAACCCCTTACCAAAAAATTAATCAAGAAATAGGAAATAACCAAACATTTCTAAAACCTCGCCCTGATCAAAACCCCTCTCCCTCCTTCCTTCCCCTCATTCAAAATATTCCTCATCCTCTTCCTCGACGCGTAGGGGGCAGATTGTTTTCGGGGATTTGTAGCCCTTGTGCAGCTGCGCTCGAGGACGTACGTCGAGGTCATGCTGCTAGCGGCATGCACTAATTGGTGGAGGGGACGGTGTCCACGTGGCGGAAGAGCTTGGCGATGAACAGAGAGTGACATTGGCGGACCAGGGGAAACTTGTTGTCGAGGTCCGAGAGGATGATGACCATTCGTTGGCAGGGGTGAAGACGGCGGTGGTAGGGTCGGGGAGCTTGTTGATGCGGGGAGAGGGGATTGAGGAGTTTGGGTGCAGATCGAGGATATAATTTCTCATGAAGCTATTTTATTTTTGAGGGCATCTTTGGCAAGGAGAAAGTAAATAGGAAGAAAGAGAAAATAATTTCTCATGAAGCTATTTTATTATTATTTTCATGCTAAAACTAAAATGATAAGTAAAAATCTACAAATATATTTTCTTTCTTCACTTTTAATCCACTTTCTCTAATTTTTAGGAAAAGTGAAATTGGCTAACATGCTGACGTGACACTCTTCACTTTCCAATCACTTTCTATTCACTTACTAAATGCCAAATATGATAAGCCACTTTTCGATTTTTGTTGCACTTTTCATTTACTTCACAATTGCTAAACACAAGATGATTATAAAATTTTCAAGATTTGTTCCTTTCTGGCTTTTATATATATATATATATATTATATATATTATAATATATATATATATACATATATATATATATTATACTATATATATCTATATATACATATATATATATATATATTACATAATATATATAATATATAATATAATATAATTATATATAATATATATATATATATACATATATATATATATATATACATATTATATATATATATATATATATATGTATGTATGTATGTATACATACATATATCACTAGTACAAACTGTCTGTCCAAACGGTTGTAACCGTTTGGACAAATGCAGTCCCAAACGGTTACAACCGTTTGGCGCAAGTAAAAACACGCTTTGGGACTGAAGCGTTGGGGAAGAGTTTTCCCAACGGTCGCCCAAACGGGTTGTAACCGTTTGGGATTTTGCCCAAACGGTTACAACCGTTTGGGTTGTCAAAAATGCCCAAACGGGTGAAACCGTTTGGACAGAGTTTTGTCCAAACGGTTGAAACCGTTTGGACCAAACTCTGTCCAAACGGTTTCACCCGTTTGGACTGTTTATTTTTATCATTTTTTAATTTTAGCTATTTTAAATATCTATCTGCTTACATTTAATATGCATATCTCACACAATAATTTCTCAATATATCACATTGAAATCAAGAATATATACATACACAAAAATGTCTCAAACAGTGCTAAATATCCAATATTATATATACATACACAATGAAAAGCATCCAATATTATATATATGTTTCTAATATCCATAATGACTCATACATCCAAAATATAATATAGGAGTGGCTTGATCCATCCAGTCAAGGAACATTTTCAACACTTGAACTTTCACCCTCCACCGTCAATTCAACTTGGACCTCAGGAGCTGCACTTGCATCACCTTCAGCCTGCACATTCGACACAGTCTCGGGTTCGGAAGGAGCAGAAGCCTCTACAGTTGGAGAATTCTGAGGCTCAGAAATAAGTGCAGCCTCTACAATACTTGCAGGCTTGAACTTGCCGATATAGTAATTGAGTGGAGGTCCAGAGTACTCTGTACTCTGAACTTGAGATGCTTTTTTGTCAACTTGGAGAAGAATTGCCGATGCTACAGCGACTGATATTAGAGCTAAACCAGCGGCGAATCGGCGATGGCTGCAGTGTTCTCTGCTCCTAATGATGATGTGCCTGCTGATCCAGAACTTATCGCACTTTCCACAACATAGACTGCTGGCTGCACGAGGAAGGGGGAAAGAGAGGGGAAGGGTGGGGGGTGGAGAATTTATGCACTAAAAGAATATATACATGCTAAGAAGAAATCCTCCAAAATTTTAGACTATGGAAGAAGGATCTTAAACTATGTTTGTCAATGTCCTGACAGATTCTGATCCTCCTCTGGCAATTAAGTGTCAATTCTTATTTAGATATTGTACTTCACTATAAATCTAACAGTAATCCTACCCCACATGATTTGTGCTAATTTATGCTTTGGCCTCACATAATCACAACTATCAACTAAATAACCTCAGGTTGTGATTTAGGAAGTGCTTTATCTTCAGTCGGAAAACATAGAGATGTCATTCAAACGTAATATGAATCTATGATAGACACTGAAATATATTTCCATGATCCATGTAAGTTATTTCACAAATTTGAGCATAAAAATGTTTTGCGAAAACAAACCTCACAAATTTGCCAATGCATTATTGCCCTCACAGTTGCAACGCCACCATCATCAATGCCACCCTGAGTTAATGGATATTCTGTAAAGGGTAGGGGAACAAATACTTCTGTAAAACAAGAAAAGGCAACGTTAAAAGAAAAATTACCTGGAAACCAGGTATTAGTGGAATAACTATAATAACCCTAAAGCACTTCTTTTCTTTCTCTGCGCGTGAAAGAAATAGTTTTTCAAAAAAGCAGCTCACATGGGTCAATAACTTACCTGAACATACTTCATAAGTGATGCTGTCTTCCTTAACATTAAGCATACAACCACCTAGAGTAACAAAATTGTAGACTATTATTTAGAAGTTTAAACAACGTAATCTTTTAAACAAAATATGGAAATTTCATGTCACCTTGCTGAAGTATCCAGACAATAAGGAATTGTGTGTATGGTTTGGTTCAAGAAAGGAGAATAGCAGATCCATCAGCTGCCAAAGTGAAACAATAGTTAGTGGGGTAGCTAGAAAGTGATATATTCTGTAGAACAGATCAAATAATTATTAGCAGAGAGGATTTGCAAGAACAATTGTCAATCAGCTACCTCTTCGTCCTCTACTAATGTCTTCAAAATAACATCAATCTCACAAGTGAAAATTTCACAAGCAATGAAAGGGAACCTGGTTCACAACATAACTTTAGTGAAAAAGAAAAAACAGAAACAAAATTGCACTGAAATCCAAGAATACAACAGCCACAATTTAAAATAGTAATAAAGCATACTTGAAGGCTCGCTTGCTTTCAGCATCTGCAGGAGCATCTTCCACAATATATTGCACCAATTGTTCTACTTGAGCTCTGTCTCTATGGCTGGATACATAAAGTATCAAGTTAGTCCATTTTCTCAATATAATATTACTTTTTATGAATAAAGTTACATAAAAATTTGCTCGCTGCTCATCATGAATAACATAATATGTGAATGATGATTAAAGATATATTTAAGAAAAAAGAATTACCAAGACATGATAAAAGTCAGATCCCAAAATAGTGACATACTTGTTAACAGAATATTCATGTTTTGATGGTTTAAGAGACCAGTCTAGTTCAACTTAAAATGAAATACCAAGACTTGAAAAACTAATATGAGAACAAGCCTAATGTAATGCACTATGGCTGAAACAAAAAAAGGCCTACTAGCAGTCGAATCTAGTTTTAGCTGAAGATGGTGACATATAATCAACATTTCTCGCTACAAATCATTGGTCTTCCTTCAATACTAAAGTTCAGAAAAGGATTCATCAAATAAGCCACATCGGGAACTAACCCAAAATAAAAGGTAATGCCAAATTAATGACTCAGTGTTTACAAACCTCTTTAGGGTAATGAATACACCTATCTTGTTGACAGAAAGCTATACTCAGTGAATAGCTCTATATTTGGTTCATAAAAATTAATTATGCGTATTATATAGCTCGCTGCTCATCAATTTAATACATTTCCTCAGTCCTCTTTCCAGACTACTAAAATTGGACTCGCCAAAAAACTTACCGATCGAGTAATTTATATAAAATTTAGTCCACACAGATCTATGGTCATCAGTGTCAAGGCCTCCGAGCAATTTTATTGAAGCCCCAATAAAAAACTGACTAAATAACTACTACCCAAAGTCAATATCTAGTCAGTTTAACCCTAATTTCTCTTAAAGAAAACTTATTCTGTAAACAGGTGTTGGATTCCTACTGCAAAAAGACCCAAAAATCAACTTGTGAGATTTCAAACTTGGTTTGCATTTTCAAAAGCGTTAGATACAGCTGTTCATAACAATTTAAGCATGACGTGCTTGCTACATAGTCATAGCTAATGTCAATGTTCATTCAATACAGGTCAAATTTTGACCAACTACAGTTGAAATTACCTTTGGGTAATTTCTAATTATCTCTGCGCAAGATGGTTAACTAGCAATCCCAGAAAGGTGTTTGAACTAGGTTACTAACTTGATATGGTCAAATATGCTCACTACCATGATATCAGATTAGGTAACAAGCACGAAACTAGAAAACGAACATGTACTACAACAGACATCAATAAATCCAACCAACCTGGAATCATAAAACGAGAGCATCGTTCGGTTCTGATCTAGTAGTAAAACACGTAATATAATCATGCGGGATACAAGATCAATGATTCTATGTATAATAGACTTGTTAAAGCTATCATATTCCTGTGAAATATAAAAGAGATCCTCAACAATGCAACAACCTTTATAGGCTTTATTCAAACAAGAAAACCTTGGTCATCAAGTACCACAGGCAATCGGCCAAGGGGGCAGTTAGAACGAGATTGATGGCTGAAGCACTGATTGTAGAGCTCGTCGGGGACATTGGACTCCGAGATCCCGGCGTAATGATGGAGGAGCTGGTTTCGGGAGAAGCAGAGAGGGCAGATCCAGATCTTGGCGTTGAAATCGACGCTGCAGTAAGGGTTGAGGACGACAGAGCACGGGGGCTTGCATCGGAGAGGGGCGTAGGGGAGGGTGACGAGATCGGGACTGGATCGGATCGGGTATTTGGGGATGAAATATAAAATGCCGCTTGGTGAAAATTTTGGGGAAATCGCGCGGGTCAGAAAAAATGATTGCAAATTTTTTTTTAAAAATCCTAACATTACTCCCAAACGGTTTCGACCGTTTGGGCTAATATATCCCAAACGGTTTAAACCGTTTGGGAGATTCGTTTGGGATTTTTAATAGCCCAAACGGTTTTAACCGTTTGGGATAATTAACCCAAACGGTTTAAACTGTTTGGGCTATTTTGACTTGTCCAAACGGTTCTAATAACCGTTTGGACAGACCAGTTTTGTACTAGTGTATGTATATACACTCTCTCTCTCACTCATTATTCGGACAAGTTTGAGGTTAGATAAAGTGATCTACTTAAGTTCAGGATGAATTTGTTTTATATTTGCTATTCAATGCCAGTATTGATTGAATGTTTGAATAATTTTAATATTGTTGATGTCAATTATCAAACAAGGGGTTGTTTGAGAGTTTGTGTAGTGATTAGAGTCTTCTAACTCCTTCTGATGAGTGATTCTGGGGCTTGTTATCCTTCCTTGCACATTAAGGAACTCGTAAGAGGGCGGAGTTGGAGTCTCTGATTGTTCCTCTGATGATCAAGTCAGTAGGTGATCTTGAGTGAAAAAGTAAAGAGTTAGTTCTTAGTTACGTAAAAAAGACCAGAGAGTGATACCTCATGTAGTGTCGTTCCTTTTATAGTGGGTTTGAGAGGCAAGAAGGTAACTTGGTCCAAGGCCAGATAGGTAGCTGAGTTGGCAGACATGTGCCATGTGTTGGTTGGTGAAGGAGGTGAGTCATTTGGTCATTTATTGTGGGAATGACAGCAGGTGCTTGGTGCTGACTAGATCCGATGAGTCATAAAGACTATGGAGGCTAGATAATGATGATGTTGTTAATGCGGTTAATGCGAGAGTAATCGGCTACCGAGGAGTTCAAGGTAATTTCTATTCTATGACTCGTTAGGTCTAGGGCCGAGAAGTACCGTCTTTTGACTCGGTTACGTGAGATGTCAGCTGAACAGTGGGCCAAGTCGGATCGCTTGTGGAATCAATTGAGGGGTTGGCCGAGTAGTACCACATTTTGACTCAGCTACGCAAGTTGTTGGCCAATCAAGTCGGCTGTGCTGAGGCGGAGTTTATCTTGGTCTTGAATTAGTCTGGTTAGGTATGGTGTAAGACATGTGTTGACGTCTCTATGGAGATTAATATTTAGTAATTTAGGGGTTATAACAAACATTATTAGATTTACTAGATCTCAGACAAAGTCTGGTGATCTAGAGATATAATCTTACCATCGTAGAGTTTTAGATATGTTAGACACATTAATGGAATTTAATTTGGGAAATTTTTTTTATTTAAAGAAACTAGCACATTTGCAAGTGCGAAAACGTTAAATTTGTTATCCAATTAATTTTCTATTATACATAGTAATAATCCAAAAATGACTCAATTTGTATTATATAGGTTATTATAAAGCTCTATGAAAAAAATGTATTTCAAACTATACTTTAGTAATTAAATTAACAAATATTCTTAATACTATTTTATTGAAGAGTTTTCCTATGAGGATAACAAGTGCTAGGCCCATGGTCGTATGGGTGGGTCTTTTTTTCTGACTAAAGTTAAGTCAATGGGTAAAGACCGGGGAATAAAATAATTTGGGAAAAAATTACAATTTACATGATTTGAAGGAAAATTTAAAAATACATTTAATTTGGGGGTATATATAAAAAAATTAAAAACTAAAATACAGGTAAATTTCACTAAATCCCAAATCAGTATTGGTGTTTGGAAATAAATCCTCAATATCTTTGAAACTCTAAATAAACCCCAATAAATTTTAGAAAAAAGTCACATCATTAGTTCGTATGTAGTCAAATGACCAAAACATCCCACAATAAATTTGACAGAAACCCCAATAAGTTTTATGTTTTCTCACTTAATCCATAATAAGTTTTGGCAAAAAACACTAATAAAGAATGTGTGTAATTTTTCAAAGGTTTGTTTGTAATATTAGGAATTTTTAAGAGGTCATTTGTAATTTTTGATTTAAATGGGGTTTGTTTGTAATTTTAGATTTCTTAGATGTTTTGTATAATTTTTAAAATTTTAGAGGTTTTATTGGTTCAAATTTTTTTTGTTTTTCAATTTAAAGGGTATATTTATAATTTTCAGATTTTTTTAATCGGCTATTTGCAATTTTAGATTTGTGAGCATGCTACTTGTCATTTGTAGTTTTTATGGTGTTGTTTTGTAATTCTCATTTTTAGATGTCTGTTTGATATTTTGGATTTCCCGGGAGGGGGGGTGTGGAGGGATTAGAGGTTGTATTTTTTTTATTTTTCAAGGAGTTGTTTGTAATTTATAAATATTTTGGGGATCATTCACAAGTTTAGAAATTGTTGGGTGTTTTTGTAATATTTAGACTACAGGGGTTTTGTTTTTAATTTCAAAAAAATTTGGGAGGCTGTACCAAGTTTTCAAATTTTCAAGGGTTTGTTTTTGATATCCTGGTTTGTTAGGGAGTTGTTTTTAATAATATTAGTAATTTAAAATGAATTGTTTGTATCTATCAAATTATTCTGCATGATGTTATGATTTTAGATTTTTTTAGAATCTATGTATAATTTTCATATTCTTTAGAATTATTCATAATTCTATGAGTTAACATGTAAATACGAATGATATGAGGTACATAATGGCCATGAGGGTTAATTTTTTCAATGTAAAATCATGGGATAACCCCAGTAATAGAGAGGTTAAGTTAAAAAATAAATATTTTTGGGTTTTCTGAGAGTTGCAAATATTTTTGAAGTTTAATGCTAAATGTGCAAAGATATTAGAGGGTTATTGAAATACACTCTTTAAAAATTAAGAAGGGTCTCAAGATAAAAAAAAAAATTGAATTTTCTATTATGGCTTGTTATCATTTGATCAAGATTAATAAATATTTAATTATCAGATTTTTTCTATTTTTTATAGATAGAATTTTCTAATTATGGACATGAATAGTTTTTAATTTGATGAGAATTCTTAGCTAGGAAGATAAAATTAGTTTTATACATATCATTTTCTAATAGCATAGAGGGACACATGATATATCTTATTGGGTGTTTGACATGTGCCACGTTTTATGATTTTTTTAGGATAGTTCACCAATTTCTCTTTAGGGAAAATCTTTTTTTAACCCAAAGTTTTACTTCAACTTATTTTTAAACCCATCTTCTTTCATTATGATCCATACACCCAAAATACAACACCCACTTATTTATAAACCCAAAGTATCACTTATTTATAAACCCAAAGTATCAAATACACCATATTTCTGGTGCTCCTCCCACTCAAAAAAACCCTAAAACACTCAAAAACACTCGACTACTGACGCATCGTGTTTATTGGCCGATTATCCACCGCGTTGGGCTGTCCTCGTTGAATTTCGAAGCTTCAGGCAAAGTATAGCACTTTACGGGAAAGTATAACACCTTATGGCCAAAGTATAGCACCTTATGGCAAAGTATAGCACCTTATGGGCAAAGTATAGCACCTTAAGGTCAAAGTATAGCACCTTATGCTCTCTAAAAATTCTGCACATCAAGTTGTCGAGAACCATTTTAGTTTTTTTCCCCGCAACGAAAACATTCGACGATCGACGCATCGTATTTATTGGCCAATCATCTACCGCGTCGGGCGGTCCTCGCTGAATTTCGAAACTTCAGGCAAAGTATAGCACTTTATGGGGAAATATAGCACCTTATGACCAAAGTATAGCACATTATGGCAAAATATAGCACCTTATGGCAAAATATAGCACCTTATAGGCAAAGTATAGCACCTTATACCCAAAGTATAGCACCTTATCTCTCAGGCGGTCCTCGCTAAATTTCAAAGCTGCAGAATTTCCAGAGAGCATAAGGTGCTATACTTTGGGCATAAGGTGCTATACTTTTCCCATAAGGTGCTATACTTTGTCATAATGTGCTATACTTTGGCCATAAAGTGCTATACTTTCCCGTAAAGTGCTATACTTTGCCTGGAGCTTCGAAATTCAGCGAGGACCGCCCGACGCGGTAGATGATTGGCCAATAAATACGATGCGTCGATCGTCGAATGTTTTCGTTGCGGGGAAAAAAACTAAAATGGTTCTCGACAGCTTGATGTGCAGAATTTTTAGAGAGCATAAGGTGCTATACTTTGACCTTAAGGTGCTATACTTTGCCCATAAGGTGCTATACTTTATCATAAGGTGCTATACTTTGGCCATAAGGTGCTATACTTTCACGTAAAGTGCTATACTTTGCCTGAAGCTTTGAAATTCAACGAGGACGGCCCGACGCGGTGGATAATCGGCCAATAAACACGATGCGTCAGTAGTCGAGTCGAAATTCAACGAGGACGGCCCGACGCGGTGGATAATCGGCCAATAAACACGATGCGTCAGTAGTCGAGTGTTTTTGAGTGTTTTAGGGTTTTTTTGAGTGGGAGGAGCACCAGAAATATGGTGTATTTGATACTTTGGGTTTATAAATAAGTGATACTTTGGGTTTATAAATAAGTGGGTGTTGTATTTTGGGTGTATGGATCATAATGAAAGAAGGTGGGTTTAAAAATAAGTTGGAGTAAAACTTTGGGTTAAAAGAAGATTTTCCCTTCTCATTGATGCGGGGAGAGGGGATTGAGGAGTTTGGGTGCAGAGGATATGTGTGAGTGTGAGTGCTGAGTGCGAGTGCGAAGGTGGTTGGTGGGAGATTGGGAAATTAATGGGTACATTGAGGGTAATATCGTCATTTCAAGTATTATTTAATAGAAATTTTAATGGAAAGTTAAAAAAAGACCTTACATCAAACGAGGGGTACAGGGTCCAAACTGAGAAGGAATAGAGTACAGGTAGGGGTGAGCACGGTTCGGTTCAAACCGAAAAAACCGACCGAACCGACCCGAACCGACCCAAAAAAGCGGTTTTATGAGTAAGGCGGTTCGGGTCGG